CAATTTGAAACCATCTACCTCCAAGGATAATTCTCACCAAGTAAAAATAATTTCCTACGGAAAGTTGTCACTATATACCCAAAAGTGTTATTTCCCTATATAAACTATAGTAAACTTTACCCCCTCCCCAAGGGAGAACGAATAGCTCGGGGGTCCTGAAATTTACAATTTAAGTAAAGCCCCTGATGATCTTTCTTTCCACATAGAGAAAATCACTGTAGTACCTCTGAGTCTGGAGAAGAAGATTTTTGAAATATTGATTAATTTTCCCTTTGGGGCCCCGCCCTGGCCCCAGGGGTCGGGGTAGGAATCTCAATTTTACAATTTGAAACCATCTACCTCCAAGGATAATTCTCACCAAGTAAAAATAATTTCCTACAGAAAGTTGTCAAAATATACCCAAAAGTGTTATTTCCCTATATAAACTATAGTAAACTTTACCCCCTCCCCAAGGGAGAACGGATAGCTCGGGGGTCCTGAAATTTACAATTCAAGTAAAGCCCCTGATGATCTTACTTTCCACATAGAGAAAAGCACTGTAGTACCTCTGAGTCTGGAGAAGAAGATTTTTGAAATATTGATTAATTTTCCCTTTGGGGCCCCGCCCTGGCCCCAGGGGTCGGGGTAGGAATCTCAATTTTACAATTTGAAACCATCTACCTCCAAGGATAATTCTCACCAAGTAAAAATAATTTCCTACAGAAAGTTGTCAAAATATACCCAAAAGTGTTATTTCCCTATATAAACTATAGTAAACTTTACCCCCTCCCCAAGGGAGAACGGATAGCTCGGGGGTCCTGAAATTTACAATTTAAGTAAAGCCCCTGATGATCTTTCTTTCCACGTAGAGAAAATCACTGTAGTACCTCTGAGTCTGGAGAAGAAGATTTTTGAAATATTGATTAATTTTCCCTTTGGGGCCCCGCCCTGGCCCCAGGGGTTGGGGTAGGAATCCCAATTTTACAATTTTGAAGCCTCATCTACCAAGGATGATTCTGACCAAGTTTGAAAAAAATCCATCCACTGGTTCTTGAGAAGAAGTTGAAAATGTAAAAGTTTACGCACGACGCACGACGACGGACGAAAAGCGATTAGAATAGGTCACTTGAGCAAAGCTCAGGTGACCTAAAAACAAACATCTTGAAGGTGAATTTGCTCCAAATTTTTACTTGAGGTTTCAATTTCGTGTAAATCAGAAGAAAAATGATGACAAATATTTTGTATTCATAGTAACAGCAACCCCGACCTTTGATCCATATAACCCTGAAACTGAATATTCTTTTGTTTCATTACAATAAAATGAAGTGAGGGCGGTGTAACTATACGACACCTAAATTAAAGTGTGACATATCAAAGAGCTAACGTGGTGATTCTACTTCACAACACCAATATAATGGCGGGGCATACAAATTATATTTGATCATTGTAAATATACGCCCAACTTGGAAATTACAGATACTTTGAACTTTAAATAAATGACAAACTAAATTACTAATTCATTGTTCCCTTAATAGATTTGACGGGCCTGTAATGTGTTTTTATGGTGTTTTTTAACAAAATTTTCAAAATGGTCATGCATGGTATGTAAGTTTCAACTTGATCCAAGGGAGATAATTCATCTGATCCAGAAGAAAGAAAATTACACTAACAAATCAATACAAGATTTTAACAAACTTGACAAGATCAGGATAAAATTCAAACCATGGGATGTGAATCACTGAAATTAAACTTGTCACAGTTTAATTTTTTAGGCAAACCTGCACCTTTTGGCAAGACTGATAAACACATACCTGCAGTCATTAATTTACTATGCTTTTTTTTTGATGTCATACCATTGTAATGAATAGGGGACACCCCC